CAGGACAGCATTTTCACTGGAGCAACGACCCTGCATGCCTTTGATACTTCTGCTCTCCTTTTCCAAGCCTGACACCCTAGCTGCCATGGCATAGAACCACTTGCCCACCAGAAAAGCTAATGACTGTTTGTATTCTCAACCAAACAGCTAACCAGTTTTAACAGGAGGGAAAAGAACAGTCCTACACAACATGTCCTAGTATCTAAGAGAACAGGGACTGCTCAGATAGGTATGTCCTGATTTCTCAAGGCTGGGAAGAAGCCAAGTCTCCCATGCTCTCTAACAAATAAGCTGTTATACAAAAGATGGCAAACACCTGCAGACCAGGGTTAAATCAGATACCTATTCTGTGCAGTCTAAGCAAAAAGAGGTCAATCCCTCAATACTGGTTTCTTAACTCCAGTTTCTCAGAAGCACCTACCTAAATCCTTGAAATAGGTTTTTAAATCCAGGTACAAAATTGCATGGCAGACACATCCACACTTTCCTTGAAGACTCATTTCAGTTTCTCCAAATTCAATGTGCAGGATATTCTGGATCACTGCTTTAGGCACCTGCCTCTCCATGTACCACATAGGGAAATTTTACCTTTTTGTGATTTTTATGATCTCATTCAGAGCATCAGTAAGATCAGTTTTCAGCTTCATGGCACTGAGCATCACATTGTCACTTTCAGCATCCAGTCCTTTTTGTATAAGAAATGTGTAAACTATCAACTCTGCTATTGTTCTTCATTAAAACTATGGTTAGTTCAACTTAAAAATGAAACTAGCCTTTCAAAAACACTAACAATATCAGTAAATTTGATATACCATAAATAAGATTAGGTATTCTTTCCCTTCATGGTGTCAGTAGATCACGAAAAGCTGCAGTAGGAATTACCACGACTCCCTCTCCCTCTCTGGCTTTGCATTACCACCCAGGTCTCCTGTGTTAGTAATCCCAATGGTTGCATCAAGTATGTAGTTCTTTTCAGGGGAATAGGTCTGTCCATCAAAGAAATATGATGATATATCCTGTGTTTCTATAGTATATGAACCTCAAACAACCTGGAAACTGCTGTCCTGCAAAAAATAGCCAAAAACTGCTCAAGTAGCACACAAGAATTGCATTCAGAATTTCAAACAGTAAAAGAAATTTTCTTTTTTTTAAATGGTATTTTCAGTCTGGAGCTAACCAATGGAAACAAAATAGCTGAGCAATTGCAGACAGGTTATCTCAAATGGTTTAAGTAAAATGAAAACACATTTAGAAGAGATGTTTTCTACTTTTTTTTTTCTTTTCTTTTTAGTTTTGTTTTACCAACAAGTTTTGCACTTCACATTTATGAAGCCAATAATTTGTGAGACATTCATCAAATACAAATTAGTGCTTGCTAATGAGAAAGGCTTTAATTAAATCCAACTGGAGCTCGTCTAAAAAAAAATTGAAGGAAGAATCTAACATGTGAAGAATGGAGAGCTTTCTGTGATTTAAGAATGTATGAGAGTTTCCAGATCATCTACATTTACTAATAAAAGTACTGATTTTCCTCTTAAGGTTACATTATTGTATAAAACATCATCTGTGACTTTGCTTTTTGCTTGTTTTCTATCATGTCCACTCAAATCTTACCTGGTTTTTGGTCTTATGTGGTAGCTTCAGGAGATAAAAAGAAAAAAAAATCCTTTTTTTTTTTTCTCTCTCTCCGATCCTACAGATCATGAGCTGATGAACTGGATTCTTTTATGGCTTAAGATATCAGAATTAACTCAGCTACAATTTTTGTCTTGACCGTTGACAATAAAAGGACCAAACAAGGTTCTTAAGGAAATAAGGATGATACTTAGAAGTCATGCATATTCTTTTGAAAAAGGGAGAAGACTTTTTCAAGAAGAAAATATTAAGCAGGGGATCAAAAGATGCTACATATCTAATCATTTTTTTCAAACTAATTGTTAAATATACATATATATATATATAGTATATTAAATATATACAGTATACCATATTTCAATATGCCCATTCCAAGATTTTGTAGTGTCACCTCTCATTTTCTACAGTACTGCTCAACCAAAAATAGCACTGGAACATTTGCTGCCTCTCGGTGAGCTCCTAGGGCTCCTCTGTCTTCCAAAGATTTTCTCAATCTTTCCTGAATTCCTGACAAATATCCCTCATATTCCAAGAGAGTTGTTTACCTTTTTGCCTAGATGAAGATTATATTTTTAGTAGTAGCATCCTATGGTTTCTTGCAACATGCCGTCCTGATCTCTCCAGAACACTCACATTTCTTCAGCATTTCTTTTGTCCCCTTTGCCTGCTCTTGACTCCATGCCCTTTTCCATGCTGCCAACTATTCTTGGAAGAGATTCTCTCTTCCTGTGCACTAATTAAACAGATTGTCTTCTAAATCGCTTCCTCCATATCATAATATTTTAACAAGAGGAAAGCCAGTCTTTATATGAAAGCATAAGACAGAATAAATGATACATTGGTTCTATTTCTTATATGTGGTCTTGAGCATATCTAATGAACAGGGTCTTTCAGGACATTCTGCCAACATGACACAGTTTATAAATCCCAAACAGATTTATTCCCACCTAGGAACCTCACACAGCCAAGAAGGCAACTCCCCTCAGAAAGCACAGAAGCAGAATTCTCAGTACACTTTTTCCCCAGGAAATGTAAATATATATAACATTTCAGGCACCTCAGTGGGTTAAGAAGAGTGGTTTGGATCATCCTGCTACAGACAGACTCCCAAACCTCTGCCTAACCAGCTCTCTGATGCCTCAGTGCTTTTTAATTCTAACATTTTACAAAGAATGCTGCTATTGCTGCATTAGAAGATGCAAAATCCGTTCTCTATTTCTTAACTGTAGTATAGGGGAAACAGATAACATAGCTGTAAAAACTCACACTTGCTACTAAACTAGATAGAGATACTTCTCAAGATGGGGCAGAATAAAGTGGTTCTATTTTCTACATAGCTTCTCCCCATAAAATCACAGTTCAGTGGGATGTTCAGCTAGACCCAGATAGAATATGCAGCAAGATTCTCACAGGGCAGCAGGTTTTTCTAATGCTATTTTTGGAAACTGCTATGTGTGGATCTTGCTGGAGTGATAATGTGAGTGCTGATACACTATTTTGAAAACATACAGAAAGGCTGTTATGAAAATTTTGCAGGTTTGATATTTTCCTTTCCAATCTTTTTTCCTCTCTCTGAAAAGCACAAGTTGGGCTTCTTAGTATGTATGAACTCACTTCTACAAGTTGCCTTTACACTACCAAAAGAACCCCAAAATAACAGTAATGACCACAAACATCTGTTCTGGCTGAGCTATATTCAACAGAAAAAATAAATGCAAAATAAGAGGGATGTATATATATGTTTTTTTCCATATACTAGAGCAGACAAAGGATGACAGAGGGTCATGTCTCGGACATGGCAATTTGGGCATGGCTCTCAGAGGCCAGATTTGGTATATGTATCGCTCCTTTTCATTCCTTGCTTAAAATCTACATGCCCCTCTCCCAGAGAATACAAGGAAGGGTTGATAATGGTTGCTCTGCTGGTAGAACACCACACTGGCAGCATTTCCTTTTGCCTAGAAGGATTCTGTCTTGTCATTTCTGATAACCCTGATTCTTATCAATGCTGAGTCAATGCTTTTACCTTGTTCTTCAGTACAATTCAAGGGAAAATATAAAATGCAGTTATAATCATGCACAGAAAAGTATGACATCATACCAAGGCTCCTAGAATATGTTATTAGATTTTTGAATATATGCTCTCAGTCTAATTAAAAAATGCACTGAGACATGATAAAAAAAAAAACAATTAACATAACCAGATCAATAAAATATCTAGTTGTTTATTGCACAATAGCCACTATCAAAGACTTAGCAAGAAATAGAAAATTCAGTTTTGTGTTGGAATTGATCTTCTCTTCACAGGGTGAAGAAATTCAATATTTCTATTGTTAGCTCTTTTGGAGGATTGAGTTGATTTTTTGTTCTTAATGTTTTGTTTTTGTTTTCTTCATGTCAGATGTAGTAAAACATCCATATTCCTTCATACTGTTGTGTTCTAGGACATTTCATAGTGATTGGGATTGTAACAACATCAATGTTTGTGACGTTAGCATGGAAACTGTTGGACTGGATGTTGAAATGTTAAATATTGAGCTTTTCTGAATTGGGAG